TAAGAAGAGCAATTGAGATGAAGTGTTATGTTAAATTCAACTGTTTCATGAGGTCTTGTCATCTAATTGTGGGACAATTCAATTTTCAATAGTTACTTAACTTCCACGGATGGTGTAGAAATATACTCATAATGAATTTAAGTAGTCACCACACAAAACGCCTGCCAAACCTAGACTATGTGGCCCAATTCAAAATCGTAGCTGTTTTTGCGGCCTTTCCTGCCGGCTAACATGTCTTTCGACACTTACTCTGTGGTCTGTGAACTCCACTCCTTTGACTGGTCGCCTCGGACTCTGGAGTGTCCAACTCCTCCTGTGCCTTGGGAACAACTGCCCAGATGGATTGAATCCGGTTAATCTGTCTTCCTACGCCTCCGCTGTTGCCATAACCCTCACTGCTGCCACAGCCAATGTTGCCACCGCATTCACCTCCAACCATCCTCTTATCATTTCCGGGCCGGTTGTATGGCCGTCCGAGCAGGCGAGGTGACGGAATCCGCCGTCTCATTGTCCGGTTTCCTGCCAGGTCCGCAGTTTCCAGGCTCTGAGCAGGTGTCGCCACCGGCGGCAGACTTCTCTCTCTCTCTGCATGCTCCAGGCGAGCTGTACTGATTAGCCTGTGTCTACCCATCGGCTGTAGCACTGGTGCTCGTTGGCTTTGTCCATAGTTCGACATGCCCCATCGTGCATCACTAGACGTCAAGTGGGAAGCAACTCCCTCGACGGGACGCGTGGGCGTTGCGAGTGATGTTTGTAGCTGAGGCAACCAAGAGGCATCTAAGCTGTCAGGACCTACATGGTAGTTAGAGGAACGATTTAAGAATAGCAATGAAATTAGCCGTAAATTTATGTTAAACTAATCGTGTTGTCTTCTACAAGCTGTAAAACCAAACAGCATAACCAAGGATAGACGATTGTGAGGGATTGCTGGCATGAGCCTAAGTAATTAATATTACATGCAAATAAAAGTTGGGTTTCGAGTAATCTCTTGGCTTATACATGTTGAGCTTACTTACATTTCAAATGAAAGTGTTAAATGAAGTGAATCGTGGGTCGATTATACCAGAAGACGACAGCGGATTTCGCTTTGTCAACTGTCAGCTGGCTACACGGGAGCATTCTTGCTGATGTCGTTGCCGAAGCGATATCCTCCGATTCCGATAAAAAGGTCTAATCTTTCGTCCGTCATATGAAGGATGCCATTATTATAGGCTATCATCCACACAATCATATTCAAAGTAGAGGTTGTTTGACCTTGTTTTCGCAACATGGTCATATTGGTAGGAAGACTCATTGGAACGCACC